TGTTCCTGTCCGTAAGCTTTTTCATGCATATGCTGTCGAACAACATTGCAGATGTTATACAATAACTTGTATAGCGTGCTCACAGCATACTATACACTAATTTCCTGGGGTAAAAGAGCTATACAAGAAGTTTTTTATTAAGAAATTTTGAATTCTTCAACGATCATTACCTTAAAACAAAAAAGAAAAAAAAAAAGGATTTTGAATTCTTCAACGCAAAGATCTTATTGAAACTGGACGGTCCTTGTTCAATCTTGGGGCATTATATCTTCATGCACATAGAGAATGCAATTAGAAACTTGTTCTTTTGGTGGGTGGGTTGAAGTAGTTAGAACCCTAGAACTGCTAGCTTGGGCTTTACCCGAGGGAGCAATAAATAGAATCTTTTATTTGAACAAAATGCTTAATCATACAAGAGAGAAGGGATGATGCATTGCAAAATGCGTGAAAACGACTTTATGGGGTATAGTACTTCATTTCCCTAAGGTTGTCGTTTAACATTTAGGAGTGTTGGTGAATTCCAAATAAAGACTGTTCTAGGTCGTGTTTAGAAATTGCATGTCTTAGAACTATTTACCTTTAGCACAATTTGGTCAAAATTGCTATCGCCGTTAGATGTAAATTCCTATAATTTGGAGTACGTCACAAAGTTTGAAGAATGTCTTTGAGATTTTGAGCCCAATTTATGTCACATTTCCTGCTGCCTAATTTCATATCCAAGGTGATTACAACCTCCTTGTCCAAATGGCAAATGGCTATATGCTATATTTCTCCTTGTGCTTAAAAAGAGAGCTTTTTATATGTCACTAGGCAGCCATTTAATGGATAGTTGGTATAGCTTTATTTGTAATGTCACAACTCAAAAGTGAGTCGCTGACCGTTTGATGCAAATCTGATAGTTTAGAGTATTTTATTTCTATTTTTTCTACAAATTCTATGAACAGGAAATTTGGTGCATGTCATTATCTAGGGTGCATCTAAAAAATATAAAAAATATTTTTGAAATATAAAAAGTCCAAACTACCCCAAAAACTTTTAGGGGTATTTTACTCATTTTATTTTGTCAAGAATATTTTTTTTATATTTGTCATAAGTGCAACCCAATGAAACAATGGGATGGCCCAAATTTGGTGTCAATATGATTCGTAGAAAAATAAAACAAATAAAAAATATTTTAGGCATGACATTGTAAATTGGGCCATCTTAGCCGTATGTTAAAATCAAATGGCCAGGAGAGGGCAAATATATATAAATTCCCTATACCTAGTAACATATAAAAAGCTTTATCATATAAAGTTTCAAGTTTCAGAGGTATTTTGGTTAATTTATTTTTTGTCTAACTATTTTTTAGATTTTTTTATTAGGTGCACATTGATGAGAAGAATGGACGCCTCCTACGCTCATCACCTTCCAAAGTTCATCGTACAGTCACGATTGTCCGGTAGTATTTTATTTTTCATTTTTTTACGATAAATCAGAATGATCTGAAATTTGGAGCGTGTGTACATCTTAGTGAAGTACACCTAATAAAAATATGAAAACAATATTTTGTATAATATAAATTAACCAAAATACCCCCATAAATTTTCAAAGGTATTTTGATTAATTGCTATTTTATGAAATTTTATTTTTATATTTTATTATATTCTCCTATTTTTGATGAACACACGCTCCAAATTCCAGATCATTCCGATTTGTGAAAAAACTAAAAATTGAAAAACTATCAGACAACTACGACCGTGCGATGAACTTTTGACGGTGATGAGCATACGTAAAATCATATATATATATATATATATATATATATATATATATATATATA